TTGGTAAACCAGTGAATGAGTTGCATAACTAAAGGCTCATACAACTGTCTTGTAACCTGAAAAGATTAAAAAACAAACCACATATGTAGAATTAATATATTTCCATGGTATTTTGATATTCCAAAAGCAAATGCAAACAATATTTCTTTTTTTTTTTTTAAAAAAAAGCTGTAAAATGAAAAATCAACTTCATATTACATCCTCTTACCAAAGATTAAAAAGAAAAAAAAAAACACAAAAAACATCTGGTTACTTGCTTTTTTTCAATTAGTCTCAAGTTACTCATTGAATTTCAGAAAGATACTGAGACAGATAAAGAACACTGAGTGCCACTGACTGACAGTATAATACACAAACAAACAAAAAGGGAAGTTTGCTTTTAAGGTCTACTTTGATTTTAAATTTCTTTTACTTTTTACTTTGTACATTATTATGATTTGCTACGTTTCAACAATTCTGAAATTTGAGGGAAAGAATCATTAAATACACACATATACATGCATGAATATACAGAGTCTGGATGCCTGTGCACATTTACATGGCCCTGTCCAGACACAATTTAACTCAGGTTTATATCAGCTGTATGTCAGAAAAAAAATAAAAGTTCCATCCAAACTAAGTTTCTTGTAGATTTTTGTACAACACACAGTTCTGTGGTCAGAAAATAGAATCTCAATGACAGGGAACAAGTAGTGGTCTGAAAAGGCCCAACACCTCTAATTTCAGTAGAGCTGACCCTATTTGCCACAAGGATGTCAAGGAGGAGAAATATCGAGTTTGGATGTTTGAATTTCAATCTCATATATCAGTTCTCCCAAAATGCTTTCTCTGCAGGTTCCATTTTTGCACCCATTCAATATGGAAATAACAGGGATTCAAAACTACTGCAAATGCTGCATATTCCTGTAAGTGACACTGGGCTTCACTAGAGGGTTTCTTGAAAAGGCCTCTATTTCCCCCCTTAAGAAATCCTGATCAACCTTCTCAAAACCAGGGGAATAATTTCAACTTATAAAATGCACTTTTAATTGAAAATAAATAAATAAAGAGGCATGGTATGTCAGGATAATTTCTGGAGCACGATTACTCTCTTTTAAGTGGTGGCCACTGATAGGACTAGAAGAAATGGCCGGAAACTGAAGCACCAAAAATTCCATAGGAACTCAAGGAAAAATTTTTTAACAGTGAGGGTGCCAGAGCCCTGGAACAGGCTGCCCAGAGAGGTTGTGGAGTCTCCTTCTCTGGAGATCTTCAAACCCGCTTGGACGCAGTCCTGTGCCACGTGCTCTAGGTGACCCTGCGTGTGCAGGGGGTTGGACTAGATGATCTCTAGAGGTCCCTTCCAACCCTGAGCATTCTGTGATTCCATGATTCCCGAAACCCCGTGATGAGAGCGCGGCTGTTTGGGTGAGCCCGTTCACCTGGTCCACGTCGCAGGCGAGGCGCAGCAGCACCGGGAACAGCCGCTTGTGTAACTGGTACATGGGCGGGGGGCCCTGGCGTCCTGCGGGCATCTGCGAGGCTCTCCCCAGCATGTAGGCAACGACGCTGTGCAGCAGCTCGCACGCGGCCACCTGCGAACCGAGAAGCCGCGCGGATTATCCGGGCATTGCTGCCCCCGAGGGCGGAAAACCGGGGGCAGGAGACAACAGAGCCCAAAGAAAGAGCTTAACTAAGAAACCACCCCAATCCAGGCGACATCATGAGCCCAGGGACAGGTAACGCCCGTGTTCACACACGTTCACCTGGCCTTCCTCCTAACGTTACACTATCATGGTGCAATCACTTTTCAAATGCAAAAAATACACTAAGTCACTCATTATCACACACTCAAGAATATTTCTTTTTCTGGACTTCTTTGGACACCAACATCCCAATCCACCAAAGTTGGAAAATATTTGCTTAAGTGCTTGGCTGGACTGAGGCCACAAGTTCATAGGCCAGGCATGAGAAGGAGGCCAAACAACGCTGTAGATTAAGGAGTTAAAAATTTTCATTTTTATGTTAAGTTTAACTATCACAGCACAAGATTCTCTGAGCTTATAGCAACAAATTTGTTCTGTTTTTTAAACACTCAGAATTCTATCATCATGAAAGAGCATGGAGGAAATCCTTTGCTACCTATGATTTTTAAAATAGCTCTTTCTTAACATGGAAAATAGTAATTTTATGCACTATTTATCAGGTAGCATAACCAAAGATGCAAAAAGACCACATCAATACTTTTGTTTGTCTGTCACTAGCAGAAAGAGCCAATTCAGTCACGCGAGGCAGGAATACATCCAAGTAGATGACTGGCTTCATGTCTGCAAACGGCACAGCAAAGCTCAGACGCTTCTCGGTGTCCCACGATACACATTTCTTCATCAGCTCTTCCGCAGGGGTAGCTAATGCATTTGAAAAAGATCAACAGGAAAGTAAGTTTCATTTAGCACACTCAAACACTTCCATAGCTCGGTCAAAAAATCTGTATTCCTCCAAATTCAGTTGAATTAACACAAAACATCGACGCTTCACAAATTGCTGCAATGTGCAAGTACCAGAAGTATGTTAGTATGGCCCGTTTTATGTGCACAGCCAAACAGATGCTTAGCCCCAAAAGATAGCCCCAAAGCTCCCAGCCTCAAAAGAAACAAGTTTGGAGACAACAAGGTCACAATACACTGATCTGCACATGATTTAAAATATTTTTGTCCAATGTCTGATGCTTGAATATCAGATCAGAGGAGCAGATCCAACATACAGACTCCTGCAGTTGCAGAGAACTGCTACTTCAAGACCTGCACCTTAAGTAACTACCATACTTATTCCCTCCCTCCCTATACTTCTGTATTTGTTAACAACATTTCATTACACTCCTTATTTAATTTCTAAGGAATAATCCGTTACTTTCCCCGAGTAATTCTGAAAAAGCAGCAGAGAAGTATCTGGCAGAAAGAGACCTGATTGCAAAAGCAGGGGAAAAAAAAAAAAACAAACTAATCTAAGCAGTAAAAGAAGGAACAAAGCCTTTGTACAACTAGATTCATTTTTAGATTGACTAAATGTTGAGCTGAATTCATCTCTTTTAAATCTCATAGTCAAGCATGCAGAGTAGGCTTTTCCATCCTTATTTTAACTACATTTTATGATTTCTAATAATTAAATTATAACGTTTATTCACAGACTAAACAGAGGAACAGAAGACAAGTTTTCTGCAGAGGCACACAAATGGAGCACTAACACCTAGACCTACTACAGACACGACACATCCTTAAACCCCCAAGCCAAAATTCAGAATTACTGAGATCCACCTAACAATTCACAGACTCTAGTTCTGTAAAGCTGGAATACAGCGGAATTGTAGTAAAGAGGCCTAAACAAGTGTCCAGGAGATGCAAACTATGAAAAAGCCTCAAAATGGCTTTGCAGTCAGAGGATGAAGGGGCGAGAGGAAATAAAAATCTCATGCATCTGAGGATGTGGTTTGATTTTTTTTTTTTTTTTGCATTTAACCAAGCCTGTGTTGAAGATTTCCTCGCCCCTTTTCCATTGCGTAGCAAATTAGTTAATGGTCTGCTCTCCTGAACTGCAGAACAGAATAAAAGAAAAGCAGTTGTTTAGAGAAGAACAACAAAAACTGGCTTTCCCTGGTTCACAGATTTTCAGAAAATGATGTTGAGACTTCACTGAAATCAACTCAAGAGAGAGAAAAAGCAGATGCATGTAAATATTTTTAGGATACTCACCTGTAATTAAATTGTGGTTGATCTGCCCTCCCAAAGATCCAAGAAGACGTGCCACTCTGGTCCTTATTGCTTCCAAGGAAGGATCCCCATCCTGAATAATTCAAAGAGATTAATAACCGTGAGGAAGGAGTTACTTCTGCATATAACAAACTTGTTTTACACAGTGAATGCAGGATTTGTGGTCCTTAATAACATATGGATGAAAAAAGGCAGAGTGAAAAACGTGTGGGGAGAACAGCATCAATAGGTAGAACAGTCCTGATTCAACAAACAGAAGCTGGGGACACTGGTAAGTGTTTTAATATACACAAAACAAGTTTAACATGTATACCGATTTTCCACACTGGGTTACCATTTCAGCCATAGTTACCATTTCTCAAACAAGGGCTAAAGTTTCATAATCAGCTACTACACACTCACAGAATGATGTAATAGTCTATAAAATAGTGAGAAATCTGAATTAAAATTACTCTTTTCCTTTGTTTTCATCCAAGGATGTAAAGTTTTGATACTGTATCTACATGCAAGTAGCCCCTGTGGGATGCCTTTGTGGGTTGAAAACCTAGCTCACTTTGCTTAAAGATCACTAGGCTGGAAAAAGAAACATAACACAGATAAGATTAACTATTAGTTATGTGTCGAAAAAGATTTATTCCAAATTAGTTTGTAATCTGGAATATACAGAAAAAAATATTAGGAGCAGACTAAGAAACCACAGCCCAAAGGACAAACAATGCTGGACCCCTAAGACTGCATTTCCAGAACGGGCTATATGCAGACTGCACCCTGTGAAACTAGAATCACATTGTAAGTGTAAAGAGTTTATTTTTTGTTTCCACAATGCTTCAGTGTGGCACTAATGCTGACTTCAAAGACTTCCTCAGTCTCCTTTTACCTTCTCCCTCTTTGTTCCCTCACCCTCGAATTGGCACCTTTCTAGCTGTGCTGATGTAGCTGCTTTTTGAGCTAACCTGCAGGATTGGATCAGTGTTCTGATCTGTGGTTGAAATAACTCTAAGAAAACATATTTCTGTAAAAGAGAAGGGGAGGCAGAGGGAGGTCATAAATTCATTTAACTTTGACTCAGTGCTCTTACCAATGAGGTCTTTGCTTTTCTTAAATGCTGTATCACAACTTTATTAAATCCCTTCTGGGCTGCTCGAGAAAGTTTCCTTACTTCCCAGTTATTCTGTGGTTCAGCTAACAAATGTGAAAATAGGATATATATTAATTTATTGCACTTGTATCTCATGCACCCGCTCTGAATTGCCTTCATAAAAATACATCTATATATATTTTTTGCCCTTCTACTTTTAACATGTGACAACTTTTCTTCTTTCATTCTTCTTTCATTTTATGTCCTTATCAAGAAAAATAAACTTCTATTAGTGAAAAATAAAATGGATTTAAGGATAAAAAGAACAAATCACTGAGAAGTGACATATAAAATAACTGCAATTCATGACTGTTCAGCAGTAGTAAATTTATTGCAGTTTAAGAAAGAATCAAACCTTTGGTGTAGAGTTCCAACTACAAGTAATAGGCAATACAGACAAAACGTTGGTGCATTCATGTCCTTAGGTACAGCCATGGAAACTTTGTTTTTCTGTTCCTCAGGACTAAAAATCATTTTTTTGTACATACCTGCAGATGTGGAGATTTTCAAATAACCGTCCAGAAGAGGCAGAACATCCTTGTAGTAAGGTTGTATTATATGTTTGGGAATGTGAGCTGACCACTCTTCCAAAGCATCCAGTCCCAGATCAGCCATTGGGATACAGCTAAGGCCCAGCTTAAACGCATTCTACATGTGAAATGTAAAACTATCAGATTTTCCTTTTCTAACGACTATTATGATTAAAAAGTATATATATTTGGAAACATCTGGCACGCAATACATCTTCCTTCTTCATTACTTTTACCTACTTACAATCTCACAAGATCTGCATGGGAAATACTTATTATTACTGATACTTATTACATTTCAACGTCGACACTAACATAGTCAATCAATTTCAAATGCAAACTGATGATTTACTAGCTTATCCAAAAAGGCAACTCATTTGTATTGGACTTCACTGAAGACAAAGCAAAGGTTAATGATTATCTTACTTGCTTGACGAGATATTAGCTTTGTTCCAGAATTTTTGAACATGTTTTAGCAAAGAAAAAAGCATTAACTGTACATCATTTTGACCTACCTGCAGTGCAGGAATATATGCTTTGATATCAAGCATGATGATGTCAGGAGGTAAAGAGAGCAAAAAAGTCAGACAGGATGCCAACAACTCATCTTTATACTGTTTCATTTTTGCTGTAACCTAAAATTCAGAAAGATGGGTCAGGAACGATCACAAACCTTACATACCCTTGATATTTGCTATTTTACTTACATATCAACGTGCATGTAAAATTAAAACAATTCAAAAACAACTATGGAATCTCATTTACCTGGAGACAGATATCAGGAAGTATTTAATGCATGAGTTTTTGCTCAATTTTACATTCATAAGTGGCCAGTATGCTTCTATTGACACCAAATAAAAAATAAAAATAGTTCTCAAAATCCTACTATGTGATATAATTCAGATAGCTGGAATAATGCATAAGAATTTCGAGATATTATTGTGTAATTCTGATTGAGGCTAAGAAACTTAGCCATAAAATTACTTACCTCTTTTCCAAACTTCACAAATAGGGCAAAGCAAGAACTTTTTTCTGGGTCTTCAGCACATTTCTTAAAACCTTTCGGACTGACACCCTACAAAGCAGAAACAGCAAGTCAGTGCTACTAGAGAAAATCACCTGAATAATGTACGCTATACAAATATGAAGCGCAAGTTTAACTCAGAATATACACATACATACACGTACATGACACATATGTACATGCTGTCCCATATATACACATATAAATTTATACACATGAACACATACTGTCCCAGTATAAAATCTGCATGAACTGAAAGCTTAAAATATACATTTGCTCTCTCCAAGATGAGTTACTAGCACTAGGTTCACATATCAAGAGTCAACTTTTTGGCATACAGGCATTTAATACTTCACAAAGTAACCAAGATACACGGGAATGAAAAAGTACTTTAAAATGATTTGTTTCCTCCTTGGCCCTTGGTCCAACAAGCCACAAAAGAAAAGAGAAAAAAAAATCCTAATATAGGCTAGACACATGGCCAGAGCGCAGATGGAAGAGAAAACAGCAATTCACAAACAATGTCATCTGCTAAGGAAAATCCATGCCAGTGAGTTCCGAAAGTTCATTTATTTAGTACCATTCACCAGCAGTGGCAAGAGCAGTCCCCAGCTCCGTGCTGGCCACACAGGACTCTCACTTTACAATAGCTTCCATGCCACAAATGGATCACCTATCAATGGGGCACGATATTTCCTGAGGAAATCAATGTGTGGGATTGTGCAAGCGTGCCTGAAATGCCTAACCCACGCAGATGTCTGCTGTTCTGACTAAGCTTTTCCTAATACCCAAGATAGATCTTCTGTACAGCCCAGGTCAGTGGCTGGGAAGAGCATCACACATGGATAGTGTCTCTTCAGAAACTGAGCTTTCACCCCAATTTTGATGTTCCATGTGTTTTTAACTACAGCAGCACAGGATGCCATTACGTTTGAAACAAACAGCGCAGGAGTTGCAGGAACTATTTCCTGTTGTGCTTACATGTGTGAAAGGCTTGGATAAAAGACAGACCCCATCACTACTACAGCATTAAACTTTTACTGAGAAGAGAGAACTCACCTCAAAGTATTTTATTTTCTTTGCAATCTTCATTGCAACAGAAAGCAGCTTGTAGAATCCACTAATAAGAGGTAGTTTTGTTGACTGTACAATAAGTTCGTAACCAAAGGAATACACCCAAGGGTTAAAGTATTCAACATGCTTCTCTGGAAGTATCTCTCTGTAGAACAGATACACAGAAAACATCAAAATAATACATCATTTTTGTCAAACTTCAAGTCAGTTCACTAAAGACAACCACTGCTATAATGGAGCATCTCCAAAGACAGGGAGAGGATAATTATGACTTCTAAGATGATTGTAGATTTTTACATTGCTTCAAAGTGCAAAACCATTTCTTGCTCTCATTACACTTTGTTACTAACTTTATAAAAAACATACATACTCACATAAAACATTGCATTACTTTCACAAACTGTAACATCATCACGGACAATAAAGTGGATATTCACAAATAATGCTGTACTTTTCCCTTACTGACCAAATACTGTTTTACTAAGACTGAATTTCTGGTCTCTGAAGTACTTAGAAAATTTGGTAGTAAAATATTAAATGCTGCAGTGGATACTAAATGATGCTTACAATTAAACAATGCATATGAATGACTTGTATCCTGCATTCTCTTAAAAAAAAAGGAGTTGGTTTTTATCCATGATCCAGATGCCTGAAAGACACCTACTGTCTTCCAACTAATTGACCCTGTGTGTTCAAAATATAATAAATGTGATCTTAAGTCAGAAACAGGCATCTTAAATAAACAATTTAAATTTCAGCCACTCCATAACTTCTAAACTACATAAATTACGTATGAGTACCTGCAGAATTCCACTAAATTAATAAAGGCAATGAAGTCTGTAGGCTTTGTTGGCTGAAGGTTTGAAGCGGGGTCAGAAGTAGGCACAACCAAAGCACTCTCAGTTTCAGTTTCATCCTGCAAACATTAAAAAAGAAGGCATTTAATCGTGATTTTTTTATGTGAATAGTCATTACGGTATTAGCAACTGCCCCTTCTGTTTTTTATGACTGTTGCTAGCTACTCTGATACAGACAGATAACTGTAATATACACATCAACAAGTCTGAAAATAATAAGGAATACTTGCTTATCACAAAAACAGTAAGCATCAAAACCAAAACCATTCTAGATGCCAGAGAAGGGAGTCTAAAATAACAGATTCCATAAATTTCTTCTATGTTTCCACCTCTTAACTGAAATACAGCACCCAGAAATATGAAGTAAAACATTTTCGCCAATCAGAATTTTAATTTGAGGACCCTATGAGGAACTATATAATAATCAGGAAAACAAAGCAAGGAGTGGGATTCTGCTTCCCTTACAAAAGCAAAGTTTACCAGACAAATCATTGTGCCTCACCTGTTCGTTAACTTGCAGTTTCTGCACAGTCAGGTCCAACTTCTCAATAATCTTCAAAACAGATTTTATAAGTTCATCGTATAATAAACGACTGAGGGACTTCAGCGCTGAACTGGAGGCCAGAAAGTTTTCATCTTCCAAAACAGATTCCTTTGCAGGAGGGATAAAGATCATGTTTCAACACCATAAGGAATAAGAACTGGTTCTTGAATTCACAAGCTAAGTTCTGGTTGATCTGAAGAATCAGGCTTTACAGCCTTCTCAGCTATGGAAGCCTAAATTTATCTTTGCTTGTTTAATTCAACTGACATGATATCCAACTAAAACCATTAGACAGTTGCAAAGCAGGACAGGCTACATATTTGGGGAAAAAAAATCTAGGACTAGAAAAGCAGTGATAAGGCTATACAGGTCTTACAGGAGTATACAGTGCCTCTCCTCTTCTACCCCATGTTAATTATGCTTTTACCTTCATTGTGTCACAACTGAGTAGACTTCTAAAGAGATACAGATAGTCCTTATATGTTGGTACTTTCCATTTCCCTGCTCCAACTTCCTCAGCTGCTGCAGACTCTTCTGATCCAGAAGTCTTCTTTTTCCCAAAATATTCCTAAAAGGACACAGTATTTTTCAGAAATGCAGTATATGTATAACTCACTGTTCCAAGCCAAAACATGTTGCAAAATTACTGGTAGAAACAAAAATTGGAATCATACAGCATTTGATACAAATAAAATGAACAATAACAAGTACCTTAGGGGTAACAATAACAGATACCTGAGGGGTGATTGTAGGGAGGATGGGGCCAAACTCTTCTCAGTGGTGGCCAGTGACAGGACAAGGGGTAACGGGCACAAGCTGAACCCCAGGCAGCTCCATGTCCATGTGAGGAAGAACTTCTTTGGTGTGAGGGTGCCAGAGCCCTGGCACAGGCTGCCCAGAGAGGCTGTGGAGGCTCCTGCTCTGGAGATCTTCAAACCCGCCTGGATGGACCCTGTGCCCCTGCTCTGGGTGTCCCTGCTGGAGCAGGGGCTGGACTGGGTGATCCCTAGAGCTCCCTGCCAACCTCAACCGTTCTGGCATTCTATGTAATAATCCAGAACTAACATTACAGCTCCTTGTAGAAATCTCTAAAGTTTTCTTCCTCCCAGCAGTCAGTTACTATAGAGACTCTAAAGTCTGCTGGATGGGATTAAAAACCTTTAAATCCACTCCCTAGCACAAACACTGAATAAAACTTTTCCCTTTCTTTTAAAGTTTGCAAAATTTGTTAACATAAAAGAAAGCTGGATACAGCCAACTTTATTACAGACAACCTGAGCAAAGAACTTTGTTCCAGAGAACCAAGACATATTTCCTTTCAGTTTCACTACTAGAAGGACATCCTCACAGTTCTGAGAAAAATGAAGATGAGAGAGTAATAATAACTGGTGATAATAACTTCTAAAAGAACAGTATTATTTTTGCTCTTTAGCTTTCCCATGTTTACTTGAACAGATGGTCAAGAGCTAGTGTGAATACTTCAGGAATCTAGAAAACCAAATATATTTAAACAGTTATTTTACCTTTGAAAACGTGATTGGCTTGGAAAAGATTCTGACTAATCCTTGATGCACTGAAAAAAAAAAAGCCTCAGCAGACTTAAAAAGACACAACATATATAACTTATACATCGGTAATCCATTAAATCCATTAAATCATAAATATGAATCTTCTATTTCATACATTCTGTCAGGATGAGGAAAATATAGGCATGTTTCTTAAATGACAAACATAAACAAAAGCAGAGACAATGATCAAGGGTGTTGCACAGAGAAAATTCCAACCTTGGCTTTTTGTTGCAACTGTTGCAACTTTGTCCTGAGTCTGAATGCAGTGGTGGTCATCGCATTGCCCTAATGCCCATGTTAGAAAAGCCAAGAACTCTCTATGACTCCCACTGACAAGGATTTATCCCAGCACAGTCCTTTGTGAACACATCATATCCCATATCATGAACAGGAGAGACAATGAAAATACAATAACAGTAGAGAAAAGCCACTGTAAATAATTGAAATAAATTCAATCACTTTGGAACACTGTTATAATAAAATGTCAGTACCCTGGGGGTTTTGAAATTGTCAGCTATCAATGCTGCCACATTCATTATTAGATTTGCAGGACTAAATCCAAGGCATTGCATATTTGGAATCTCCACTTTCACCATGTTTAAATTCCAGAAAATAAAAATATTGTATTTCTGGTAAAGAGGACCCTACCGCAAGTTCACATGCTTTTCTGTAGAAATGAGGAAAGAGCACGGAACAAATTTTGGTATTTTCCTTAAACTTACTTTCTGTAATCCTTTGAGCCTTGAAACTAAATCAGATTACCACAAAAACATATTCTCCTGCCCTTGGACATGTCCCCTCTGACACTTGAAGCAGCTGTTAAACACATTCACTGAGTGATTTAGCAGTGTATGTTAAAAATGACACAAGAACCCTCCACTTCCATCGCTGAAGAAAGGAAAAGGTTTAATTAAAAAAAAAATTCCAAAGACTCACCTACAGTGCTAATAAAACTCCAGAGAATTGGTCCTTTTCCTGTCAGGGCTAGGAATATCTTTACTATGGATCTGCAACAGGCTGACTGCATTTTTTCACTGTACTGTGGAAAGCTATCAATCTGTACCACAACTAGGTGTTCAAGGACTGGAGTGTATACTTCAGGAAGCTAGAATAAATGAAAAAAAAA